AGATGAGCAACAGGTCTAAGTGGAGACATTCTTTCTCTGTTGCCCGTGTTCGTCCATAGACTATCGAGACACTGATCCGTGCCTATCCCTCCTGAACGGCCTCGGCTCTCCGCTGTCTGTCTGGCGGCGCCCAACTCGCGGCCCGATCGGATATCTCACGACCCAGGCCGACTGCCGCCTTTAGGCTAGGGGGATACCTATAGCATCGCCATATGCGGCCACCGTGGCTCGACTACTCTTCCTGTTCCGATCTTCTCCCACATTACACCACCGGTGAAGTCTCCCGAACGGACTGGCAGCGTCACATAGATGGCCCGCCCAGCCGGCTTAGTACTCGCCGACGAGGTCGTTCATCGCGTGGACGTGTTCATGCTATCGCCACGCCAAGTTTATGTCGTTATACCCCTGTGGTTGTCGATTGCTAACTACTCAATCGACTATGTACTAGAAGTCGAGTTACTGTAATACCCTGTACGCCCATGAGGATCTACAACTTGCTATTAACCGCCTACATGCCAGAGAATGAGCAGCCGCACGCACGCACGGCACGCGGCTACTAACCATTGTGGTGTGGGTATATGTGGGACTCGACTTTGAATATGTGACGGTTCGCCACCCTGGCGAAAAGTAAACTTGTGATCACCGCTCGCAGATGGCCAGGGCCCGACCATTATCTATAGGAATATGGTCAAATGGTTTTATATATATATATATATATATATATATGAATCTATCCTCTACTGAAGGATTAAATAAGTGCGCGTGTAACCAATAGCTACAACACAACAGGGAACCGTCCAATGCCGAACATTCCCTGGGGAGAGGCGTGCTGACGCCTTAGCATTCTCACCCGTCGAACCACGGTGCGTAGGCCGCGTACACGTATCACGTACGTTACGTGAATTCGCGTAGGCCGGCAATAACGATCTATAATATAGTATGTGTATATATTATGGAGTACATCAGCCGCTAGTACGAATATACTAACCAACACCATGAATTTGCCACCGCCCGCGATAGTGCTTTAGCCATCCAAACAGCTCGGAGTCAGCCGCGTCACGCCACCTTAGGCGTCTGAACCAATAAAGCGTGTATTTCTCCTAGTTTGAGGCGCCAGGCGGCAATTAAAGTATTGGCGCCTGTTAACAGACTGTGAATGTGAACTTTGCGTGAGAGACGCCGCACCGTACTGCACCATGCGGCCGCCTGCCTGTGACACGGTCACCACCTTGATTAACTGAGTGTGTATGTAATATAATATGAATAGCCAATAAACGGACCTGAAACGTGCGGATAAATAGTATTTATATGTAAACTAAAAGCCTTTTATTGATTATATAATACTAATAGGATATTATTTATATAATTATATATACTAGTATAAGGTGTATATGATAAATAGTATGAAAGCTAGCTATGAGGGCATGAAGTTCCATCACAGAACACCCGACCCTTGACCATCAACACACCTGTCCCACAGCTACAAATAAGAGGCGATCGACGATCATCTCAAACCAGAGAAATAATAAAGGAGTAAACTCCAGGTCACTGTAACATCGGTCAACACTAGCTTGCCCAGCCGTTATTTTTGTCGTTGACGAGCTTAGTTAATAAGCGTCGTCGGATGATGCTCGTTTGACGCATAGCTTTCGCCAATGCTGCTGCTGGGTTGATTAGAGTGTGGTGGTCAGGTGGATTCGGTAAGTGGCACACCAGGTGGTTGTGGTGGTTGCATGGTTGGTCGAGTGTCGGTTGGTGGTAGGTCGTGAGTGGCTGGTGATGGCTAGTGGGTAGCGTGGTAGGTCACAGGTCGGTGGTAGGTGAACGCGAGTGATGGTCGGTGAGGTGGTCTCAGACACCGGTAGGTGTGTACTCGGTGCAGTGAATGATGGTCCACGAGTGCGTAGGTTTCCACAGGTGCGTAGCGATGGTGGTACCCCCAGGTAGGTCAGGTGGCACACGCACACACACAGTGTTGGCCTTAGTTGCAGCGGACACACAACCAATCCACAGCCACACACACCCCACACCACACCAACACACCACACTCACCAGCACACGTCACACACACACTACACAGCACCACTAATTGGACTAGGTGTTGGTGGTGGTCGTTCGACATCGTAGGTCAGTGTCCAGTGGCATTGGCTGGTGAGTAGCGTTCAGGTGGGTCCACCACACACACACCACACACACCACACACAGGCTCGCGCGTAGGGCAGCTGACGATTCGCACGTACGGTAACCACACGAGTGCGGTGACAGTGGGTAGCACACACCACACACAACACACAACACAACACACAACACAACCACACCGGTTACGGTTTGCGTGGTAGCGTGGTGGTACGCGTGGTTGGGTGGTTCGGTGGTTGGTGGTCGCGGTGGCGGGTGGTAGTGGTGTTGGTGGCGGTGGTGATGGGTCAACCAGCCAATTATGCTAATATATACAAAACACAGCAGTGTAATACGTGCGCGCATACACCTCGGCATAAATAGCAGCAGAACAACGTGAAACAATGCAAGAATTAACAAGGACAGCACAACACCGAACACATGAATAGGGCGCCTAGAGAAGGTGCGTATCGGAAAAAATGCATCATCGCTACTTCAATGTGATGTCGCTTCTCTGCCAAATGTCCCTGGCTTTACCATTGTACAGGGATAGGGCGCGGACACGTCGGCGACCGGTCGCCCAAAAGGAAATGACTTAGGACCGACGTTACGCATTTAATCTAGAGTGTGGCATGTCTAGAGAAGGTGCGCATGGAAAAATGCACCCCTGGAGAGATATCTAATAAAACGCGTGCATAACAGTTAATAATATTGCGACTCTACACACATATTCATTGCCACATTGCGTAGTTTACCTCCTAATCTATGCCTATCAGGGGAAGCTGCGCTACCGTATTCATTTACAATAATTATCTCTACCTAAGTGTCTGTCTACATACGTAAATGTGTCTGTGTGACTATGGAATGAGTGGCGAAGTCTGCGTGATTTGATTTTTCTTTCCGTCTGTTTTTAGGTATGCATCTCTATTCGTACCTGTGTTTTACGCCCGCCACCGCATACATTTACAATGATCTCTACTTACCTAAGTGTCTGTTTACATACGCGTGTGAGTCCGTGTGGCTCTCCCATGTCTATGTCTGCCTGTTTTTATTTTTCTATCAGTCTGTTTCTATGTATGCATGTGTATTCGTGTCTGTGTGTGATAACTAATTTAAATAACATCCTACAATATATTATTTCGGTGTGTCATTACCTGATTTCGGTAGCCATTTATCATGGTAGTTGGTTAATATATTAATATGATCATATCCTGTATTTATACGAGATGGGTATATGATGAAAATGTTCAGTGGCCGAGCAATTTTCGTAAATATACAACATATAAATGCGTGTAACGAGGTCATCTGAGTGAAACACTCAGTGTCGACGTATTTGTTATCGAAAAATAACGATTGCATGTGAGTGACAGCTATTTTATTTGGTTTTAAACAGTATACAGACCGAGCGATTCGTGCTAGTTCCAATAATAACATGTTTTTCGAAAATCTACGTCTTCATTACGCATTATATCTAGCTGATTACTCTAGGGTAATTTCAGCGAGGGAACATATCCGACCACGAATAGCTGCAGTATATCTAGTAATGTCATCTGTAACGCTCGGTACACTAGAAAAGATAAACGGGCGAATTTGTAGCAGCGGCGGACCCTCTCCGCGACCCGGCCGATACCACGAGGTGTCTGCGGCTGTCGCGGGGATCCATTCCGGCAAGCAAGCATCTGTATTGTCGCTATGGCAATTATGTATCTGGATCAACGTTTATTCCTCGTCATCGATCATCCTTGGTCGGCGGGTTGCCTGCGAAAAAATAACCACGCGGCATTTACAGATCGCACACGGGTACACAGATGCGTAAACTGTTATACCACAGACATGTTTTTGGTAACTGAGATGTTACATTGCTATATAATTGATTTTACATCGTATTTTTTTTCGGCCAAGAGTTTTAAAACATTGAAGATTAGCGAGAACATTTTTGTGGCTTGTTAGAATTTGAATTTTACATCTTTGTACTTACGGCGGTAGGACGCATGGAGAATCCCGAGCTACGAGCAGCAGCTCTCAGCTTAGCGACGGCAGCTTCTGCATCCTCAGCGCGTGCCTCAGCCTCCTCCAGCTCAGCCTGCGCCTTGCGGTACTTGGCCAGGTTCATGTTGGCCACCTCCTCGGCCTCGTCGATCTGGCGCTTGTAGAGCTTGATCTTGCCGTTGAGTCTCTCCAGCATGTCCTGCATGTGAGCCTGATTCTTTTTTCCATCGTCGATCTGCATGGCCAGGTCCTTAACGTTGCGGTCTGCTTTGCGGTAGTTCTTCTGGGCTTCACCGAGGCGGCGGCGTTCAGCATCCAGCTCGGTCTCAAGCTCACGAACGCGCTGTTCCAGCTTGACGATCATCTTCTTGCCTCCCTTCAGCACGTTGGCTTCAGCCTCATCCAGACGAACCTGCAGATCCTTCAGTTGGCCTTCTACAGTCTTGCGGGCCTTCTCAGCGTGGCTAGCATGTTCTTGCTCCTGGCGCAGCTCCTCTGCCAAGCGGGCTGCATCGGCAACGGCACCTCTAGCTTTCTCATCGGCAGCCTTGAGCTCATTGACGGTCTCATCAAGATCGGCCTGCATGGTCGTCATGTCACCCTCCAGCTTTCTCTTGGCGGCGTTGGCAGACGCGACATGGCTCTGTAGATCTCCGATACGATCATTGGCTTCATTTAGCTCAGCTTCAACTGCGCGGCGGTGGCGCTCTGCCTGCTCCAAAGAAGTACGCGTCTCCTCCAGCTCAGCGCTGATGGCATTGCAGCGGCGCTCGCTGGCTCCCAGCTGCTCGCGGATCTCCTCGCGTACGCGCTGTTCCTCCTCAAGCTGTGCTAATAGGTCAGCGAGCTCGCTCTGTAGCTTCTTCAAGTTCTTTTGAGCATCGGCGTTCTGACGGTTGGATGAGTCTAGAGCGACCTCCAGCTGGTTGATGTCATTCTCAAGCTTCTTCTTCATGCGCATTGCCTCCGCCTTGCCCTTGGCTTCGGATTCGAGGCTGGCTTGCATGGAGTCAACAGCGCGCTGGTGGTTTCTGCGGGTCGTCTCAAACTCGTCATCCTTCTCTGCGAGACGTCTGTCAACCTCCTGCCGAATCTGCTGCAATTCGAGTTGACCGCGGACGACCTTGGACTCTTCTTGCTCCAAGGCGGCCTCGGCCTCCTCTAGCGCTGCCTGCAGTTCCTCTTTCTCCTGCTCGAGCCTCCTGCGGGCCTTGTCCATCTCGTGGACGCTCTTGCCTCCCTCGCTCAGCTGGTCAGTGAGGTCTTTGATTTCATCAGAGAGGTTTCTATTCTCACGCTGGACAGATTCCAAACTGTCGGCTGCCTCTTCCTGGGAAGCCTTCGACTTGAACAGCTCTGTGGACAGGTTGCGGCATTCGCGTTGGGAGGCCTCAAGCTCGGCAGCCAGATCATCACTCTTCTGCTTCCACTCGTGGATGGTCTTGTCGAAGTTGCGCTGGCGCTTCTCTGCGGCGTTGGCTGCGCTGGTCGCACGCTCCACTTCAATTGACATGTCATCCAAGTCATTGGAGAGCCTCTGCTTTGCTTTGTCGAGTTGGACATTCTTTGATTGTGCAGCCTCGAGTGTGTCTTCAGTTGCCTGAAGCTTAGCTTGGAATTTACGCCTGTTGAAGAATGATAAAAGTAAAATTATGCATTAACATGTGCCTAATAGCAGCTGTGTACATTAAAATTACACGAAGAGATATTGCTGGGCAACTGTGCTACATACGTGTAACGTTTCTCTCATATCGTCCATAAAGTCAGTCAAATGCTGTCACTTACTTGAGTTCCTCGGCCTCTGGTCCGCCACCTCCCAGCCCCTCGCTTTCCACTCGCGCACGCAGGGTGTTGAACTCGTTGTTGACCTTGGCCAATTGCCTCTGCAGAGAGCTCTTTCCCTCAGCCTCCTCTTCTAGCTGTTCGCGCAGCTGCTCGGCATCGTGTTGAGCATTGCGTAGCTGTGCATGCAGAGATGACTTTTCCCGCGACTCCTCGTCAACTTGGGCCCGTGTTTCCTCCAACTGTGAAGACAACTGCGCCTTGGCTCTCGTCATTTGGTTTAGCTGAGACTCAGCTTCCTCGAGCTGACGCTGTAGATCGTTGATCTCGTTGTTGGCCTTGCTCTTCTGAGAATTCATGTCATTGATGGAGCGCGCTGACTCATCTAGCTTAGCGTTAGCATCGCTCATCTGGTTCTCAAGTGCTTTTGCCAACTTCTCGGCCTGTGCTTTGCTCTTATTGACGTGTTCCATGTTTGCCTTGCTGTCATCCAACTCCACCTTCAGCTGAGCCTTTTCCTTTTCAGCCCTTTATAAATAAAGTAATGTATAAATAGGTAATAATTATACGGCCAAAATATAGTCTATTCCTCATCCGTGTGCTCTTGTAGCGGAAAAATATGTTAATAAATAATAATTATCGTCATAAATAAATAGTAATTGCCGAATGATGATGATTACTAACTATTATGATAAATTTAGATACAGTGACGTTTTTTGTAGTGCATATCTATCTAATATATTTCAGGAGACGGGTACGTACTTAGCCTTTATTTTTTGCATTTGGTCTATCTGTTCTCCCATCTCACTGACAACATCGTTCTGCTTCTTACGAAGAGAAGAAACGACAGCCTCATTTTGCAAAGCTTGCTCTTCCAGGTCCCGTCTAAGCTTGGCCAACTCAGCCTCGCGCTTTCTATTCAGCTCGACCTGGGCGCTGGTGGCGCCTCCTGCCTCCTCAAGGCGTTCAGTCAGCTCCTCCAACTCGCGAATTGCATCGGCTCTTTGCTTCTCAACCTTTGAGCGGGCTTGTCGCTCGGCTTCCACCTCTTCTTCGATCTCTTCCACGCGCGCCTGCAGTTCCTTGATCTTCTTTTGCAGCTGGTGAACGATTCCCTGTTCATCCTCGCATTTGCTGCCCATGCCGGCGAGCTCCTTGTCCTTTCTGCGGACGGATTCCTCGAGTTGATGTTTGACATGCTCCAGCTCCTCAACTGACTCCTGTGCCATCTTCAGGTCTCCTTCCACCTTCTTCTTAGCTTTTTCGACATCGTTGCGGACCTTCTTCTCACGCTCGAGGTTGTCCTCCAACTCATCAAGAGTCTGTTCCAGCTTGGCTTTGACCTTGGTGAGGTGATTGCATTTATCCTCTTCTTTATGCAGATCATCACTTGTCCTCTGCAATTAATCAGTTTCGATATCATAAAGATGTAATTGCGTATCGTTGAGGGGCGGAATGATGGAACTTTGATGAATACGCAGACATTTTGTTCATGCATAACCCTTGTTGTGTCGAGAACTAACTAGATATTATGGAATTGTGTTATATACTTACGCTCTGGTGTTCGGTAAGGTTTTTCCTCTCTTTGTTTCCTTTAGCAATTTGTTCCTCCATCTTGGCAATCTCCTCGTTCAGCTGTTTAATTTGGTGCTCCTTTGCATTTCTCTCGCTCTCCATCTTCTTCAATGCACGTTCTAGCTCCTCGATCTGGTTCTTTAGATCACTGCATTCAGATTCGACCTTCCTCTTAGCATCACCGACAGAGGCAGCTCCCTGCTCTTCCTCGGCTAGACGGTCTTGCATATCCTGCAGCTGCGATTCCAAGTCGTGTTTCTGCTGCATCAGCTTGGTTGCACGCTCTTCAATGTCGGCAATGGTTTCGGATTCGTTGGCGCAGCGAGCATACAGGTCATCCTTCTCTTTGGTAATCTTGGCAACAAGGTCTTCACTTTCCTTGCGCAGTTTAGATTCCTTGGACAGCTCATCCTTGACCTTCTCAAACTCTTCCTTCATCGCCTTGATCTCATCCTCCTGGCGGGCAATGCTCAGCATGGGTTTCACCTTCGTGTACAGCTTCCACCATGGCCAGTTGCGGCACTGGATGTACTTCCTGACGTTGCGCTGAATGACAATCATTGCCAGACGCTGGGCCTTCATCACTTGGTAACGAGCTCGTGTCTGCTTTCCACGGACCCATGCCTGGGCAAGAGTGATAATGCGGGTGATGCGTTCGTCACGCAATTCCTCAAGCTGACCCAGCGAGCCGGCCTTGAAGAAGACCTTGGTATGACCGAGCCTGTACATTGCCGTGTCCCATTGTAGCTCGGCAAGAATTGCTGCACTTGCATCTTTGCTGTCGCAGAAGCCTTCTGGGACAGCACTCGGAGCCAGAATCTTGTATCTGTACAAACGTATTACATATATAACATCATAAATAGACGCACGAGTAAAGCAAACTTAATGCCTGTTTTGATCGTTTTACGATACTGTGATGTCAGCAAGATCGTGGAATTCATTAATTAGTTCCGAAATATGTTATAAGCATAATATAATAATGTTATCTGTAGGCACTAACCTCTGTTTGAAGTCTCCATACACGAGCCTGTTGGGGAAGCCCTTGCGGCAAATACGGATTCCTTCCAGTACACCGTTGCAGGTCAGTTGGTTCATGACCAGTGCGGCATCAAGAACACCCCCTTCCTTGTTCTCGTTGGGGATGATGCAACGCACGAAGTGAGGAGCCGTGGCATTCAGGGCCGCCATCAACTTGTTCAATTGTTCCTAAATAATTATAATTATGTTAATGCATATATCACTACAAGCATCTTGTTAATGTGATGGTTGTAATTATTAGCTCAGTTGTTTTTCGATTTTCTCCCTATATCTCCTTCATAATGCGAGCGACCAAGGCATGCATGGTTACACATCATGAAGTTGTATTTCGTAATGAAATATTACTCTACGATGGAATTAGTTAATATCCCCAAACGAACCTACCCTGTAGAGAGCAGATACGGTCTGGAAGGCGGATCCCTTCTTCCTCTTTCCCTTTCCACCGGTGTCCTCATCAACCACTAGTTTATCAGCAAACAGATGCGAAAGCGTTTGGTTTCCATGCGACTTGGCGAATGTGACAGCCACGGTGTCGTTGATGGGATCCTTGTTCTTTTCCAGCCAGTGGTTGACGTTGTAGTTGACGATGCCAGCGTAGTGGACAACGCCAAAGTGAGCTTCAGACTGGCCTGCCTTTGGTGGTTTCGGCTTGATGAAGCTTTGCGATTTGCCAAGATGGTTAACTTGCATCTTTTCCAAGAAGGTCATGTCGGTTGCTTTCGGGAACATGGACTCTTCCTCAAGGATAGCGAATACACCCATGGGCTGAAACATTGAAAATATTTTTTTTTTAATTCGAGCTCAAATTTAATATAAAATTAACGGGAATTAGATTAAGATTACGGAATTACGAATATTTCATTTGGGTATATAATACGTTAATTTTAAGTTAGTCTTTTTAACACCTTACCTTTTCAATCATATTAATTATTAATTGGTTTTGAGAATTTTTTATTTGCGTGAATTATTTAAAGAGGCTAATTGGAGTTGTTTGGAGTTGGAAGCCAGTGTACCTTTTCAATCATGTCAATGCAAGCCTGGAGATCCAGACCGAAATCAATGAAGGTCCATTCGATGCCCTCACGCTTGTACTCTTCCTGTTCCAGAATGAACATGTGATGGTTGAAGAACTGCTGCAGCTTCTCGTTGGTGAAGTTAATGCAGATCTGCTCAAAGCCGTTGAAGTCGAAAATCTCAAAGCCAGCAATATCCAGGACGCCAATGAAGAACTGCTTCTTGCCTACGGTAGCAAGGGTTTTGTTCACCGTCGCTACCAAGCCGCGGAACATGCGGTCGTACATAGCCTTGGCCAAAGCGCCGACGCCGTTGTAGCACTGCTCCTTCGTCTGTCCCTTGGTGACGTACTCATTTCCGACCTTGACGCGCGGCTTCAGGATGCCCTTGACGAGGTCAGCATCAGAGATGCCCAAGACATGGGCGACCTTGCAGGCTGCTTCGGTGCCGTCGGCCTCTGCCTGCTCCTCCCTGGGTCTCTGCTTGAACTTCATGACTCCCATATGCATCACGGCGGAGACAATTTTGTAGATGTCCCATTTCTCTCTATCAGAGAAACCCAGAATATCGAAGGCTTCCTACAAAACACACATAATGTTATTGAAGTGGTGGTGGGGTATTTAGTGCCGCGAGAGGAGGAGATATTATGAGTAACAGTAAATCTAACCAGAGAGCTTATTGGAATTATCATACAATTATCGTTCTCGTATCGTATCGTATGTGTGAATAATGGACGAAAATATCGATCAAATAATTAAGGAACAAATTCAATCCAATGTTCTAAATAACAAAGATTGCGAATATATATTACATATTATATATTATATATTATATATTATATATTATATATTTTATGTATACACACTTTAAATATATGTTATCAAGAGCTAATACTACATTAGGTATTATTAGCTCTTGATTTTAGTTGTTAAGCGTGGGATGGACTCACGTCGGTCAACCTCATCTCCTCGCCATCGTCCACTCCGTCGATGTACGTCTTGCCCTGAGCGATGAAGTAGTATGTGCTGACGTCATCCTGCAGCAAGCATGTCTCTGAAATGGAATTTTTGTCATCACGCGCGAAAAACGTATATGTGCGCTCGTGACGTTCACGTACGTACGCCTAGTATGCGTTGTTATTCTCATATCGTTGCGACGTATAAAAGAGAAAAGAACATATATAACATATATATCCAGTTACATTATTCGTGTACTTTCGGGACTAATTCCCATTTTCACGCGTGTCACCTTTTTCTCGCGTTGCAAACGTGTATTCAATTATTCATGCTCATGTATACTTTCCGTACCGTTTGCTATTTTTACATATACGGTATATTTTATATATTTTGTGATTTCTTATATTTTACAATTTTATATTCTAGCCGCGGGTTCTTACCTTTAGTCTTTTCGATGCCACCAGATGGCAGCTGATAGAAGATGTGGTAGCTACGCTCGAGCGGGGCCTGGGAGACGACACGTGACTTCTCCAGCAGATCTACGAAGTAAATGTTTTATCATAAATTAATTGACTGTTCCATGTCCCTATAGAATGTCTGTTCTTAATCGTAATTCCCTATACGGTGATGGGTCTAGACAGTGGCGTGAGAACATATCACACACTACACACACTACATACACACACTACATACACACACTACATACATTCACTATTTTACATTTATATTTTTGGTTCTTGGTGCCGTGGTATAGTAGAATCCTACGGTTTATAGTAGGAGTAAATATTGTTTTCCTGTTAAATTTATAAACGGGGATAACCGGTATTTCCCAGTTTCTCTTGATAAAAATCAATTTCTCGTCCCGTTGATGTGTTATGATGAAGGAAATAGTTTACAATGCTTTCACCAAAAATACTAAATTTTCATAAACCTCAATAATTTATATATATATATATATATATATATATATATATATATATCTGTATGTATGTATATATTATATTATAATATATCATATCGGTAGATTTATAATTATTCTCATATTATCTTGAACGTGTTTTTTATACTCACAAATTCAATATTCGGCCTCCAGTCCAGTTTTCAAGCATGGGCCAAAGTGAATGCGGATGAATTTACCCCTGAATGAGAACAAACGCATAATTATAAACGTAATAGAAAAATCAATAAGCAGGTGGGAAGAAATAAAACAATTAACAAAGATTATTATTAAGTAAAGTTCTTAGGGGTTGAAGGTAACAATATTTGCATTCTCTTTGCGCACGAATATGTATATATATATATAATATATATATATATTATATATATATATATACATATTCGTGCGCAAAGAGAATGCAAATATTGTTACTTCAACCCCTAAGAACTTTAACTTATAATAATCTTTGTTAATTGTTTTATAATATATATATATATATATATATATATATATATATAAATATATGTATATAATGTATGTGTGTAAATATAACTATATATATATGTTTTTTAATAATTTATTTGATTAAAATCATAATTATAATTTAATATTATACTTACGAAACGAGAGGAGTTGTCGTTTCTGACGGTCTTTGCGTTACCGAAGCTCTCAAGCACGGGGTTAGCCTGCACGATCTGATCCTCCAGACTCACCTGTAAAAGGAAAATTGCGCAATTAAATACAGGTGTTTACATCGGAGCTGCGTGTGTTCACTCCTGCGACGTCTCGCTGTAAGACGATTAAATAAACGTTAATCGATGATAAACTTATATATTTATATTGCGCGTATGAAACGGCAAGTATTACAAATGCATTTATAATTTATAATAATGATCATGTTGTACAATTAGCAGATGGCTAGGGCCTATATATGATCTAATGTTTTATTAACTGGGTGATTCCAGTGGTTTGTCTTCAACCTAACGCGTGCGCCTTTGTAGCTATACTATTTGTCTGTATATAGGATCGCACATATTGTATACGCATTTGCATTTCATCGAGCAATATTCACAAGAACTCATTAAAGTCGAAGCACAACATTTGAAATGCATTTAAGATCTACACAAAGCTTCTTGTTGAGACGAAATTCTCGTAATTCTATTGAAAAACAATGACACGCTTAAGAATATCGTGCAGCGAAAAAAAAATTCAAAACACACAATAGCAAACACCGTGCGGGTAGAAACAGCGAACAGAACGGTACAAAAACAACCCGAAACAGCAAAATACAGGAAACGTGAGGTGGAAATATTTAAAAAAAAGAAAAGAAAATTAAGGAAAACTAAACACATATATAATAATTTCCGTGAAATATGCCTGCGTTTTTCGCTACTATTGCACTCTGGGTCGGATAGTGAGGGGTGTGGTAATCAGTAGGTTAGTGAGGAGCCCGTGAATGTAGGGGTGGAGTAGTAAGTGAATGGGGGTAGAAGAGGGGTTTGGTAATTAGGGAATATAGTAGTGTCGGAGTGGGGTAATGGGGGAGCGGATTATTGAGGGTGAGTTAGACGAGGGGTGGGGTAGTTAGTAAATGAGGTAGTGCAGCGGGCAGGAAAATAAGGGAGTGGGATAAATCAATCCGGTAAAAACACACAAAATCAACCCTCAACCAACCTGTTTGTCACTGTCCTTCTTTTGGCCAGACGCGGCCACAAGGGCGAAATAGGAAATTACTTTCTTCGTGTTCTCAGTCTTACCGGCTCCGGACTCGCCTCTGTTTCACGAAAATTTTTACAAGAATACATAAAACCGCAAACGCGACCGTGACGAAGGTTGGCAGCGTTGTCATAGCAACGAGAGCGCCGCCGATGCGAGAATGGAATGCCATCGGATTCAATCGTTACAGTGGCCAACGAGAAAACCACAGAAAATGTCGGCACTAAAGCCGCGTCTGTTCATGATCACTGGCTTGTCGCTCTTCAAACGCGTATTAGCGTAGCGTGATAGTTTTCATCGCTTCAAGCGCCCAGAATTCGCGTGGGCATTTGATACGGATGTCGATGTACGCACGTATGTTGTTATAGAATGCAAATTACAACATTCAGAATCACGCGAATTAAGTTAAAAAAACGTTCATTTTACGTAAAAATTTATGTAAATTCACAAACACGTGATTAGCACATGATAAAACATCATAGTTAGTTTTTCGCACGCCGGTATGTTCGGTATTCTTGATCTCTATCTAGCCGGAAAAGTAGTATGAAGAAGACGGGGAGGGTAACCATGCACATTTCAGTGAATCGAGTAGATATATTTGTGTATCGTGTTGGATCGCTTGCTCTAACACTGCGATAGCATACATTCGCAAAAAAACACAAAAACACAAAAACACACAATCACACGTCACAAAAGTCGACTCGGATTTGAAAACCATGCTGAGGAAAATCCGAACCTCTAAAACATCTTTCGGAAAAAAAACGAATACTGAAAAAACACGAAAATGCTTGGAATGTACATGTGCAACTCCTCTAAAATATGGGTTACAAAGTATTCCTTTACGGGCATATCTCGACAAGTAAACAGCTAGTTAGCACACGTTGATTTGTATGGGTGTGGGTATGGGTGCTACACATTATATTCTCACAACTCACACATTTCACACTCAACAAACCTTGACTTCGCGCATTTTTTCTTTTCTAGAGGTCGCCACTAAGACGAAGTAGGAAAATACTTTCATCGTGATCTGTGGCCGCAGACTCGCCTATGTTTTTGCAACGATTTCACGTAAAAAACACACACGAAAAAATGATGAATCGTGCGTCGGCAAGACGCCACGTGCGCATGCAGACGATAAAAACGGGCGAACGCCATCCTAAGAACCGACAAAACAAGAGCGGAATGAACGAAAAAAAACACGCGAATTCATCAATCAAGGTAGCGTTCCCGAAAAAAACATTTGAAAAAAAATTGCTGGCATCGTAAAAGATTTATTCGTCACGTTTCGCGGCTTCTTGATACGTCTCCGACGTAAGCCAATAGAAAAGCGATTAGTGCTTAATAGAGCTTGTCATCAGGAGTCGGTTCTCTGAGTAAAACGTTCGAAATTACAGACGAGGTCAAAAATATTGCAGGAGCGTTTGCGAGCCCTTCTCAAAAATAACTCGAAAAGACATCGGAGTGAGAATGTGTATCATATACGTACGTGATAAGCATGGACTGGTCCTCGCGATCTGGAAAACGAAGTGATAAGGGCTTTGAGTACAAGCCTATATACGACAAACATGCGCGCCCGCGCACGCACACGCGCACGCACGCACGCACGCACGCACATTTAATTCAATTAACGTTATATCGTAAAATGACGTTATTTTCGCGTTCTACCAGAAAACGAATGTTGAAAGAGTATGATGATTTGATGGAACCTATGAAAATTCCTATAGTATTTCATACGATGAATTTTATTTGAGACATTTGCGGCAAAGCTGTACTCACTCATCAACATTTCCGTGTAGGCGTTGTCGGCGATGGAGAACAGATGTGGCGGCATCTCCGGACGACGCTTGCCACGGTATTCCTGCACGACCTTTTCGATGTAGATCGGCAGCCTCTTGTAGGGGTTGATCACGACGCAGAAGAGTCCAGAGTAAGTCTGCAGACGCGAGTAAATATATGAGCTTCATGGTGATAGTCCGTAAACATTAGTTTTATGGGATGAAACGAAATCGAATGATAAACGATTTCGTTTCAACCAGCGAATTATCCGCAAAGGTTCGTTCTGACGCATATAGACATGAGACAATAATCACAAAATAAGATGCGACACTTTCATTACAGCAGTCACCGCTTTATCGGGACAAGGTCGGGAACAACAAAAATATCTCGATTAAGCGGTGGTCCCAATTAAGCGGTGTACACATATCAACTTACATATAATCAAGAGTACATAATAGAGATCTCTATTATGTACTCTTGATATAACGATTGTTTTTAATTTTTCTTTCTGTTTAAGCGATGCGCCCGTTTATCCGAGGCCCGATAAAGCGGGGATCACTGCAATGATGCACTGCAATGTACCACCGCGACACTACCTGTAGAGATACTTACGTAGATCATCCAGGCGTGGTATCGCTGTCTCAGGTTGTGCAGCACCGATGCGTCGTTGAGGTACGTCAGGTGAGCCATGTCTTCCACCTTCTCGTACTTTGGTGGATTCATCTGCTGCACCTGCGCCTCCTTCAGCACCTTATCCTGCAGAAACACAACAATGGCGTCCGGAAATCATTCACAAGGGACATCACGGAACACAGGCCTTCATGAAAAACACGTTGCAGTCAACCGGTAGACTAAGAAGGGTCTGATCGCATTAGGTTTAAGTGTAAGTATATATGTAGCCACTAGCATAACGCATTACGTCTCTGATTATCCTACCACTGTTAGAATGACTCTATGTACTGAAGTTCATTATTCGTTCTCAGCGTTACCTCGCCCTTGACGACGACCGTGATCTTGTCTCCAGCTCTCTCTTTGATTTCCGCAACCTGGTAGCCCTGCTTCGGACATGGCACCCAGCACATCTTCTTGCCGTCGAACGGGATGTTCTGCTGCTCGATTCTCATCTTGTCGGTGGGCTTCAAGAACTGCCACGGGTCTTGCTGGCCGAGCTCCTTCGTACCCCATGGCAACGGCAGTGCTTGCAGTAACATGACGTCGCTGGATCTGCTGCAAGCGACTTCGGTCGGTTGGCTAGCAGGCAAGCTGTGGATGCGAGAACGTGCCACGTTCTAAACAGTCACGATCCCAAAACTTCTAAGTATAGCGTGGAATAACCTTATCGGATAAGAGTGGGGGCATTGTGGAATATGCTCATATGATAATAGTGCTCATGTAGATAGCGTTGAATTAGGCAAATGTGAAAATCGTGGAATAAGATGATTGAATGAGAGTTTACGATCAATTTTGGAATTATATTTTACGATATATCCATGTGATTATCCTATTAGCACCAGTTTCAACAAGTGTTCTAGTTATCTATGCTAAACTGTATAATAAGATAAATTCTAAAGATATTGACTCTATTATCTATCTTTCATCTATTATTCTATAGATAACTTTACGTAGGCGATCTGCACCTGTAGGATGTGCGAAGTGTTGGAATGGGATTATATGCATGCAACACTCACTACAGTCTGCATGCACATCTATATGCCAAGCTGACTATACATACTTAAATTATACTAAGTGAATGTATATTATATATATTTTTTACTTATAATATGATTTATTTACTTATATATATTTTAATTATAAGTTCAGTTAATATGTGCGAGTGGAAACGCTATATAATTCTTAACCATCGATATTGTGCAGTACGTCATTCTGTTGATATGGACAGCTATGCTCACTGTCTAAATCAGTTGATAAGTAAGTATAACTAATATAAATAGTATGAAAAGTGAAGTATAAATAATTAAAAAGTATTAAAATAAAGTAACAATTAGCACATCTTTCAACCCGTTAACTTTAATCGACTCAGCAGCTGATAGCGCTAGTGGCGAAACTTTCACTAGAGCAAATATAACTCCTAACGGTAAACTTAAGTAACTTTAGACTTACGGTATCCCGAGAGAAGATCTGCTGCTTCCACCAAATACCACGGCATTTATACCAGGACTGTGAAGCCGGTACCACTAGACTTATCGTTACGAACCATCTGATTAGTCGGAAGTTTGCACACGCTCTCGCGTCATCCAATCGTCGACGTTGACACATCCCCCGGAACGCGAGACTTCGATGGAAAATGCGGCGACAAAAAAACGCGTCATAAAAATTCGCGGGCACGTGGACGGAAATAGATCGTGTGACACAGCTTATATTTAGACCGACGAATAAGGGCATCGCGTAGAAGTTTACGTAGTCGTGGCGTATGCACATATGCGGGAGGCGATCGAGTTTATCTATTTTAAGTGACTCTGGTAGGCACCACGTAACCGCACACCGGCTGCTAAACCCGCCATGAACATTAAAAATATAAATTTCCTTGATTTAATGACTCCGTCTGGCTCGTCGGTGCATTTTATTCGTATTAAGATGCTCCCTTTACGCGGTGGGCTAAAACTGTACGGGAACCATGTACGTATACACGTGCTCGGGATTGCGAGGGAAGCGAGTGCCATATTTAACAAAACCGGGGATTGAGAAGTCAGCTCCCGCCGTGCCCTATACAGCTGTACAACCGTAAATGATTGCTGTGCCACACGAAAACGAGCATGGTAATAGAATGCGATAGAGTCGAGGAAGCTAGAGATAAATAAAGAGGGGCAAAGTGCAAATGCAGGCATAGCTAGATAGATAGAGCAGACGGAGAGAACGAGAGAAAGCGAGCTCGAGAAATCATGGGAGAGCGCGCGTGAGAGCGTGAGAGGGAGACAGAGAGCGCAGGCGAGACAGCATGCAAGCGACGAGTGATGAGACTGGGCTAAAGAGAAAAATGGTTAGGCATTACTAAAAGCAGTTTAGTAGGCGATGTAGTGTAGCGCTGGCTTCTATGCCTGCTGTCTGAATGTCTGGTAAAAACTTAAACTATTTCCTGCTACTATACAGCGGCTGATTTACAGCTCACAGCCTTGATCAGCCGAACAGAGAGAAGTGAGACGGAGACAGAGAGACAGAGACAGAAAGAAAACGAGAGGAAAGCGAGGGGAAGGAAAAAAGAAAGAGAGTGAAAGACAAAGAGAGATAGACAGAGAGAGAGAGCGAGAGAGAGAGCGAGAGAAAGAGAGAGAGAGAGAGAGAGAGAGCTGACATGCTTCACGATGACGAATGAAGAAGATCAAAGAGAAGGTAACGATGGAAGGGATGTCTAAAACATGGAGAAGGTAAGCGATGATGATGTTAAACAGGGAGGAAGGTAGGCGAGTGGAAGGAGTTAAACATAGAGAAGGTAACGGAAGTGAGGATCTCTTAAACATGGAAAGGTAATCGAAGTGGGAGGATCTAAACATGGAGGAAGTAACGGCGAGATGTCTAAACACTGGAGAAAGTAAGCGAGTGGACGATTTAAACATGAGAAGTAACGAGTGGAGATCTAAACATGGAGGAAGTAACGATGGGAGGGATGTCTAAACATGGTGAAGGTAATCGAGTGGAAGATCTAAACATGGAGGAAGTAGGCGATGGAGGGAGTCTAAACAATAAGGAAGGAACGAGTGGAGGGCCTTAAACATGAGAAGTCAAGCGAGTGGAGGGAGTCTCACAACATGGAGAAGTTAACGATGGAGGAATTCCAAACATGAGAAGTAAGCGAGTGAGGATCTAACAAGTGGTCAATGACAATTAATGTTTTTACAGCATTTCGAAAATGTCAAAAATGACAAGAATGAGTTAACTTCCCTACCAAGGCCAGACCTAGACAGCCATAAAACCTGTCTGTTGAAGATACAATGCTAAGTCCCCGTCCATCTGACCAAAAATCAAGGCTCCGCCTGCCAAAAATCTCTCAGCGCTTGAAAACTTTTCCAAAGGTGATAGGCCAATTAAAATTCCAAGTGTTATCACCAAGGAATTCATGGATTTTTCACCAGATGAGAAGCACGCGAAAACACACTATATCACTGAGGGTTGAAGCTCGTATCAACATAGAGCAAGTGGGGTTATCGCCGGGAGAATGTTCAGAATGCACCCAGATTGTGTTGATATTCGAAATCATAATAGAAACGGCCAGAGTGGGTGTGATGCTCTGTTATACAAAACGAAACGAACCAACATTGGCCCTGCATAACTTCAGATTTGACGCCCACAGTTGACGAGCAGGGATCCAGATCTACCGGCATGCCGACTGTAATGCAGATAGGAAACTCAAGAACATAAACAAACAGCTTCAAAGTAAATTCATTCACACAACCTTCAATAATTGCAATCCTCGCAGCAGTGCTAATGCGCTGCAGTTCTCGTTTAGATTGGTTAGGCAATTGTGAGACTGGATCTAGTGAGAGTGCATTGGTAATATACAATTTGATAAAAATTATTATGTAATGATAGTGTGTTTTGAATGAAGAAACCTATTTGGGCGATGTGCTACACACACAT